CTCACAGCTCGCATTGCAAGCACGGCCCATAAGCCACGTGAGCCCTGTTGTGAAGTTGGAAACACTCTGCAATCTGGGCACTCTAGGGCCACAGCAGGCGACGCGGGCTCTGGCTGCCGTTCGTGCGGCAGACGACGGCTCTCGTGAATTGTGCGCCGGCCTTCCAGAGAAAAATCTGTCAGGGGACCCGTGTTTATTGTCTTCCCCTAACTATATATTTATGCTCCATTCACCCCCTCTCATGCACTGGAGGCTCGAAGCCGTTCGCACCACCAATCCAGGGCTCGAAAAGCGGCACGGGAATTTGGTCCGATTGAGAGTTCTGTGGCCGTACGGGATTCGAGCAGACGGCTTTCAGTCTGAGAGAAGAAGGAACGTAGCATGAAAATAGACAACAACAACAATATTTTTTTATTTATTTCTTCTTCTTCTTATTATTATTATTTTTTTAATGTTTAACAGGTTTGTTTTAAAACAAAAAGCCGCGAAAGCTACACCTATACGGTTTGTGCAGGTGAGTTGTTCGGTCAGGAGGACATAGTATGTAGGGCTAATCGAAACGATCAGACGGCTATTTAAGTAACGTTTGTTAATTAACTTTTTAATTGATGAAAATAGGCATATGGTTCTCATTCGAGACTTGATGAGCGTCACCGAAAACCGCAAAATAAGTAATTTTCGGAAAGATTTTGAGCGGGCGAAAAGCGCAGTAGTGCGCCAAAGTTATCACTCGTGGAGCAGAAGCAAGGCTACCGGTGCGACAACGCGCCCTCGCGATTTTTCCGCCGCTTATCCCCAGCCTTGTGCCTGCTGCACGAGTAGCGCCTTTAGCGCACTACTACACTTCCCACGCGCTCAGAGTATTTCTAAAAACAAACTTACTTTAGCGGTTTTCCACTGCGCTCAGCGAGTTTATAATTGGAGCCATGTGTCTATTCTCACAAACTAAAAGGTTAATTAACAGATTTTAGTTAATTATACGACTTACCGTGAGGATCAGCCCTTCTATATTAGAGAATTTTAGTAGACCGTATATTAGTATATTAAAAAGAAACACACAGTATTTCTACTCTAGCATGCACCTAGATATATCTTAAATCTCCACATAAAGGAGGAAATTAGTTATGGCCGCAAAAAATCCGTTAAAAAAAGGCCGCAAAAAAAAAAAAAAACAGACAATCCGACAAACTGGAGGTGGAACAGGACACGCGCTACTCTAAGACGACGATGTAATTTTGTGTAAGACCACCCCCTACGACAGTTGCGTTTGACTGCGTTGCGCCGAGAAACGACGCAACGCAGTTGACCGGCACATATGTGCTTGGTATGAAGCGTGGAATTAAGGAATAGCCTGGCGCGCGACAAAAAGAAGCAGGAATGTTCTGGTTTCTCGCAGCCGCAACGCAGTCAAACACACTGAAACGCTCTCAAACGCAAATGTGCGTATAAGGAGTATTCACTGGACGCCATATTTGTGGGTGCTGTTTAGAGCGCATGCTCAGAACGAACTCACATTTCTAGGTTGCTAAGACCGGCAATCTTGATAGTGTGGAATGCACGTTGCAAAAGAACTGTGGAAGCTCGCCATGAGCACGCGCTCAACAGTCGCGCAAACGGCTATGGCCGCCAGTGAATACCTGCTATACTCCGTTCACCTGAGACTAGAAGCTCCGCCTTCAGCGCGAGCTTTCTGCCCTTGCTAACACAAGTGTAAACGCGCAGGCACGCGCAGCAACGAAAGCACTGCGGACGCCAGCGAGCTCGCGCTGACAGCTGAGCTCCTGGCGTGAACGGAGTATTGACGTTTCCACTGTTTACAAAAATCACAGTCCACACGTGCTAAATCATAGCCCAGCCAACGCTCGCGAGCATAACACACAATCACAGCAATGAACGCGCCCTCAAACGCCTTTATAAAAAGTCTTTTTCTTCGTTTTTTCTTGCCGTGTTTGTTTACGTCCATTGTGAAGGGGCTAGGGCTCCACTGAGTTTCCGCATAGCAGCCTTCTCCCCAGCTGGCAGACAAGAAAGGAAAATGGCGATTGTGAAATGTCGTCCGGGTGCCAGAGCGTCTTCTGGCTCGTTTGGCACGTCATCATTTGACCTAACAGACTTCTTGTCCCGAGTAAAGTTGCTTCTATTCTCTATCCGTACTGAAGTCACTTTGTGACACTTTGGCGTCCCCTGGTGGGTTTTCCTATTCTCTATCAGTACCAAAGTCACTTTGTGACACTTTGGCGTCTGGTGGGTATTAAATGGGCACTCCAGCGATTTTTTGAGCTACCTCAACTAAGTATATTTTCTGACTCCACAGCCTTTACCCTTTCCTGTATGCTATTTAGTATCGCGAAATTCATAATTGTTAATGTAAAATTGGCAAATGAAAATGATGCAAAAACGAACATTCAAATGCCTTTCTGCGGTGCCGCGCTCTCCTGAGCAAATAAAACATTACATTATACCCGCACTTTTCAGTGCCGTGACGTCAGTGGCGGGCAGGCTTGCCAGTCGAGCAAGCAGTCTAAACAATAGAATATGCCAATCCTTTGTTTCGTGCTGGAGCGCAGGTACTGGAGCGAGCTTCCAAAGCATTCATTTGACACCATGAAACTGCTTTGAATCAGTTGGGAACAAAATCTACAAACCAAAGAGTGAACCCCTGCCTTCCACTGACGTCACTTTTTCATTGTTGCCAGGAGAGACTTTCAGTTTGAAAAACACGGTGAGGACCAAAACTGTAAACTCGATAACTTCGCGAAAAAATATTTTTTTTTTACCTAATATTTGGGGTTTTATTTTAACGATGTTTGTTGGCGAGTTTAGCAAAATTTCAAGCAAATTTGGGACCATAGCGTGCACGCGCAACCAAAGCATGGCTATAGGCGACGAACACGTGCAGGAGGTTGCCGGGCATCGGAAAGAGAGGCCCTAGTGGTCTCATCCTAACAATAACTGTCAATCAAAAACAACTTTTTTTTTTTTTTTTGCGTTTTCACTGTGAGCGTTTAAATGGGGTTCATTTTTCCCGTTCGTCGCGCGGAATTCGCAACAAGCAAGAAGCACGTAGGCACGTGCAGACAGCAGAGCGCCGAGTTATGGTGTCTTCCCGGCTTGGAAGCGTGCGCGCGCGAACATGAAACCGTGTCAACACTGTCCAGACTAAGGAATATCAGAGCATCTCAACTCTGTCCAGCCTAAAGAATATTAGAACGTCTCAACTTCGTCCAGCCTAAGGTGTGAAACGCCACGGAGCGCGAAGTTCCGAAACACTTCGGCGAAAAAGCGAGTGGCGGCCTACGTCGCCACACCACCGCCTCCCCCCCCCCCCCCCCCCCCCCCCCTTTCCCCTCTTCCTCAGCTCGTAAAAAGGAAAGATTCCACACTTTTCTCCGTATTTGTTTTTCTCTGGAGGATGGGAGAGGGCAGGAAGACGTGAAATTCGACCGGCAAAAAGAAGGAAAACAAAGCAAAGAGCGCGGCGACCTAGAATCTGGCAGCAGTGGTGGTTGGTCCCCTGCACCAGTGCGTGGTCTCTCATGTGTCTGTCTGTGTGTGTGTGTGGGAGGGGTGAGAGGGCGCACATATGACTGCCAATTACTATGGACGAACCATGGACCTCTCGGCGTGGAATCATGTTGTCCTGGGGTATCGAGCACACAAGTGCGACACAGTGTATGGAACGCTGCGCAGGAGTTCCAGTGACGTCAGAAAGACACCGAGTTCTGATTGGCTTTGATTGAAAGGATAGTGGGTAGACCTCAATACTAGATGTTCTGACATCACAAAAGCCCTGTGCATGAAACAGACGAACTTGCGCTTCGCATTGTTTTTCATTAAAAGGTTTAAAAAAGCGCGAACAAAACGAGGACAAAGAAGACACGTAGTCGACAACAGAACATGTGGACCAACTAGCCCAAACCCAAGTTTTAATACTGCTTTTAGTTTTCGCCAGAGTTTGGCTGTCACCCCGAAGCTTCCGGTAGGTTCCATTGCAAGCAATATGCTCGATACCGCTTATCACTGTTCGTGCCTTTTATTGGGGTGGCTATAAAAAGGAGATAGCGCGGGAATATGGGGAAAGAAGATCAGGAAAGGGGGAAAAAAAGTCTCTGCGTAAGTGTTAGTGGTGACGAGGGGATAGCTCGGAATTCGAAGTAAAACTAAGCGAACTGGATACATGAAAAGCAAAACAAGAGATGAAAGTATTTGGTTTCGTTGTATTCGTTTGTGATAATGACAATAATGATATTATATATATATGCTTTTCCCTTATTGGCTCAGGACAGTTGCGGCACCGCAGTAAGGCAAGAGGCCGTACCATGGAGACCCGCGATGATCTGTTCCTCGCACCTTGAAAGTTCCAACCGGCAATATGCAAGAAAAAACAACATATATCAAAAGAAGTCTCTACCCTCCCGTGACGTCGGCGAATATGGACCTCATAAAAAGGTGTCTTTTCCATTGACTATGTCCGCCTAGCAGACGGCAGCCCCCGGCTGGTTCTGTTATCGCAGGAGTCGGCCGCCGTAGCAGATGTGAGAAAGGAGGACCGCCCAAAGTCACGTGTGCCGGTGCGAGACTTGAAACAAAAAGTGAGAAGAGAGCACCGCCTGCCCTTCTCCCCGAAATAACCTTGAGGGGGACACGGGCATCTCGTTCGCGGAGAGGTGCCGTGCTTCCGGCGAGACAAAGAAGCCCGAGAACCCCTCCGAAACGTCGTTCATCACACTCGCAGACGACCGGCCGACCAACCACGCCTTCCGCCGCTTCCGCCGGGGGAGTTGCTACAGACGGGCGCGAGTAGTGACAACTCGCCGTCGTCTGTCGGAGAGGAACAAACATGGCGATAAACGATGATTCAAACACTTTCATTGGGTGTGTGTACCTTAAAGCAATAATCTGATTGGTTAGGTGACAACACGTGATACAAACTCAAAGCGAATAGCAAAAGCATGGCGCATGCGCCAAGAGCCGGTTCGATTGGAGCGCCCTCGCGCAGTAGGCTGCCTGTGTGACGTCACGGGCAGCCGCCACGGAAGGAGGAGCGGGATCGGCGAACGCGCCGACGAATGAGTCGCTGCCCGCTGCGCGCGTCCAGTGCGGCTCAGGCTGTGCTAGAGGAGGCACGGCTCTGGCTGGTTGTGTCGCGTAGCTGTCGCCTATTTTTTCAAAGTTTAGCCTTTATTTTTTATATTCTCTTTATACAAGCAAACCAAGAGAGCTCGGTCATTTTTGTACGTGGTCTATACGAGTAGTGTGTCCCTTCACCGTAGCGCTCCTGCGATGCCTGCTAGTGCTAGTCTGTTTCCCGACATGGAGCGAGGCAGCGGTCTCGAAGACCAGCGGGCCCTCCAACTTGCCCTCGAGCTGTCCATGCTGGGATTGAACAACGAACATGACTCTCTGCACCCAAACTTCGAAGCCGACACGAGGAACAAAAAAAGCCAGAACACGACCGAGTGTGTGCCTGTGCCGAGCTCCGAGCACGTTGCCGAGATCGTCGGCAGGCAAGGTGAGAGAACGCTCTTTGTTGCACCTCTCCCGACGCGTCTCTTTGTCGCCCGCGGCGTCTCGACTCCGGGGCCGGCCCTTTCCCTGCGCTGCAATCCAAGCTCCGACGTCTGCTCTTCTATATTTGGCGTGCGACGGCGAGCGATGCGCACGCCGGCTCTTTGGTGAGCTCGGACCCCGGAGTGTTGCAACGGGCTCGCGCCTCTGCTTCGCACCCTGGGTCGTAGAAAGGCGGACTCGGGGTACGGACCGTTGAAGCCCGCCGACGCCGCGGACGCAGGTGTGAGCCGGCGGGGCCCCGGCCGCGCTTTGCTCTCCAGCGTCCTTTCGCGCGTTTTCTTTGTGTGCGAGCGAGGGTTTTTGTAGGCCTCCTCGAGGAAGTCCTCCGACACATCCGTCCCTTTCCGAGCGTTCCCCTTCTTCTCAGAAGCCGGAGTGAGTGATTTCTCGCGGGCTCGCTTTATCCGTTCGAATCGCGTCGAGGGCCTGCTGCGAGCTTATCTTTGTCTCGGAGCTCTTTGTTTGGCTCGAGCCCCGTCGCTCGTGGCTCTGGTCGGCCCAGCGAGTTGCTCGCTTGACAAACAGAGAGCGCTTCGTGTTTACGCGCGGTTAGCGTCTTCCACGCGGTCGCGACAACCGCCAATCTTCGTTGTTCCGGTGACCCGTGGGGCGCTTGTCCAGCGGACGGACCGGCCGTTGGCTTTGACGCGCCGGCGTGCTTAGCGGGTAAAGAAAAAGAAGAGAAGCTACATAAACACTCTTTGCCTGCGTCCTCGCCTTCTGCTGCGTTGTAGGCTTAGCTCTTCTCCACTAGCTGTGCAGACGACTTGGCAGGAACGGTCTTTTCGTTCATCGGGACATCGGATGGCGTCGCATATTCAGTTTTTTTTTTTTTTGACAGCCACGGCGTTACGGCGCTTCGTTGGCGTCGCTGTGGCGCGTTCCTTTCCGTATTCCGTTCCGGCCGCGCGATCGGATTCCCCCAGCTCCACAACCGGCGTCTGATCGAAGCTATTTTGGCACGAGCTACTTTTAGCGCTCCTTCCGGCGCCCGCGGTCCCCGCCTTTTCGAGTACGAACCCTCCCTGCCCTCCCGGCGTAGGGCCGACGGACGCCGGCACCAGACAGACGTCCCGTCGTCTGCAGCGAGCTCCCGGCGTAGAAGGCGCGTCCACCTTCGAAAGCGTCTAGCGGCCCACGCCGATTGGGAACCAGTTCGCGTCCTGCGAGGCTTGCGTTCCCGCTTTGCTTTTCATCGTGCGCTTTGCAGCGGCGGCCAGGGGTGTACGAACTTGTGTTGCTCATCGGATCTTTTAGATTCCCACAGATCTACAAGGGAGAACTGCATATCAAGATACCTTGGGTGACTTGAGTGCACTCCTTTGAAGTGGCGCCTCTTGATGTTGCTTGTAGTTGTGCGTGATGCTTTCAGCTATGCTGAACTGAGGTACTGCTTAAATTAAAGTGTGACAGCCATGTGAGGAATGTACAGCGACTGTCTCAATGCCAACTCGCTGACAGTTGGCTTGCCAACGAATCTGCAGAGCACACTCCACCTAAACCCTTGCTCTGCCAGTTGAGCAGAATAAGCCACTTTGGAGTAGTGATGGGACAAACTTTTTTCCGTTCAGAGACTCTGACCCGAATCTAGATGTTCGGAAAGCTTTGGATAATTTACCGAATCTTCTAGCGATTCACTTTTTGGATAATTTGAAATGTTGCCGGATTACAGCACATTCTGCAGAAGAAGAGATGGATCCTTTGCTTAAAAGAGATTTATTATATCTGTTTTAAGCAATCTTTTAAAGTGATATAGTCTATGATAAAGATATCTTAACCATAGACGAGACATTAAGCTTCCCTATTATGTTTGAAATCCGTATCATACGAAAGGTTGAAGCGAATAAAATAATTACTCACTTATTCCTAATTCCTGACCAAAATATTGGGGCGTTAGCTACGCCTTGCTCGTATGCGTCCCTGAAGCACGTAGGCCCCGAGAATAATGCTCAACGCCAATGGCGGAGATTAAAGCTTGTAGGTATGCACCATGTGCGTGAAACAAAATGATGGGCTACCCGTTTCTCTTCAGTAACACCGGAAATAAGCCAAAACTGATTTATATTCGCGAGCGATGCAAGAGTGACGACCGAACCTCCAAATCTCCCGAATATTGTCCCGAAATGTTCGGAAACATCCCAATCAGTCCGAATCCAAATCTTCGGTGATTCGACCCATCACTACCTGGGAGCAAAGATGCCATTTCTCTGAGCGATGCAACAGACATGACTGGATCATACATTCCTGGTCAGCTTGTTGACCTAGCCTAAAATAGCAAGCGTATACCCATGCCACTGTCTTCCATTCTTTGTAAACTTTGGAACTGCCTATAAAGTGCATGAAAGAGACGCAAGCACCTTTTTCCAAATTCTGTGACATTACCTTGCAAACTTATGCGAGTGCTTGTGTGTGGGATGAAAATAAACTAAGGCACAAGATGCCATTGGGCCAAGTAAGGATTTACATACATCATTACGTAGGCACATCAGAGTAGCAGGCCACTCCAAAATGTTTTGCTTTTGATTGTGTACTGCAGTTCCATGTCCTGTAGCTATACTGTTTCACAACGATGGACCGCAAAGGACGCTACGAGCCACAGGAGCCAATTCATAGCTCGGAGGGTGTCACGCATCTTTGCGGTTGGGCAGAGCGACGCGGTTAGCGCAAAGTCGCAAGACAAGCTACAAACTACGGATTGGCTCGTAGCGTCCATTGCGGTACATCGTAAGGTGAAACGGAATATAGATAACGTCAAAGTAAGTTCAGTGTTATTGACTGCGGCTATCTCAGCATTTTCCGCATGCGTGCTCCGACAGATAGACATTGTTGAAAAGGGCAAGTGGTGGCATCTCTTCATAGGAATTTTGACCACCTGCACCCAAGTCCTACTTGGAAATTTCCTGGAATTTCGTTTAAACCTTTACACAGTCCAGCTGCTCATTAAAATTTTATGGGGTGAGTTTCACCTTGCGCAGCACCTTCACTACTTGTGTGCGGCTCATTTCACGACAAACCAAATGTCAGTTTCATTTTATGCTATGAAAGGAGCGCCTTCTTCTATATACCCATTATGGCATGCACTATGTTAAAACTGGAAGATCTTAATTGGCACTAGATGCTAGTGAGGGTAAATTGAATAGTATGTATATTGATTGCAAATGTTATTAACTTTTTATGACTTCTAGTTATGAAATGACCTACCCAGTGGGACATTCAATTATTATATATGAATAACTGTTGTGCGGACAAACATGCATTCTCAAGTAATATATACATTGGGCATGCGGTATAAACTGGGGAGACTGCTGTGCATTTGCTTTGCAGGCATACTTGCACTTTCCTTCAACTACATATTGTCTGTTTTGTGTAGTCAGGTGCACTAAATTATCGATATACTCATTTTTATTCTTTTACTTTGTTTCTTCATTTCCTGCATGTTTTCTGCATGCCTTTTATCAGGTGTGGTTTAGTCATGTTTCAAGCTTGGTTAACCTCTTTGTCTTTCTAATGAACACATTTTTCTCTCTAGGCATGTTTTCTGTATTACTCCCTGTAAAGATTCATGAGATGACAGTAGCCAAAATAATTAAATAAAGTTTGCGAATTTCAGATAACCTCCCCATGCTTATACCTTTCCGGTAGACTTAGTGCCAGAAAAGTACTCCACAACTCTAGCCCGGTCTGAAGTCAGAGATTAAGCTATTTAATCCACATATGTAAAGTTGTTACAGTACCTGCCGTCAAGAGTTCGATTAGTGGGCACACCTGTTGAGGGTCTAGGTATTTTGCAAGATATCCAATTTCACAAGACTGAGCTTCGCTCAAAATTTGACGACCATTTAATTCACCTCGAACAAAACCGCCGAATTAGCATGGCGATGCAGGGCTTCACAAAATTTTGTTCCTAATCTCGGACTGCACCAACGTTACTAAAACACTCAGCTGGGAAACTGTCATAGAGACAGCTTTGAAAAAGTGGCCCCAACCTGTCTCCGAGCACCGAGCTAATGACGAACGCCACCATTTTTCCCGCAGCGGCCACTCGAAGAACTGCACGTGACTTATATTTTGGCTTTAAGAACAGATACAGCGGTAGAGGTTACAGGGGTGACACCCCCGTCTCCCCGGCGGACGCGCCGCGTCGACCTACCGAAGTTAAAATGCACCTAGGTCAGGACGCGCTACCTGAAAGGACCGCTGAGGCATGGTTGTATAAAAACAATATTAATTGTTCCGCAAAACCCTGCAAACTAAAGTTTTTAAAAACATAACGCGCCCCTCTTTTTGTTCTAAACTCCAATAAATTTCATACAAAAAGAGTCTTTTCCGTTTGTTTTTGCGCAAAAACAGGCTTTCAAAAAGCTCAAGGTGACCACAGTACAGACAAGTGACAAAGAGTGGCGCTGTTGTCGCATTTAGCTCGGTCTCGGTGGACGCCAGCGGCCCAGGTTTCGACGGCGAGTTTCCCAACTGAGTGTTTTAGTAACGTTGGACTGCACCATAATTTGTCTGGAATTGGGGTGAGGATGTGTGTGTCTGGCAACAGTGCCATTGCCTTGTCTCTCATGGGTGCACTGTCCGGTTTGAGTGTCCTCTGGCTGCGGAGTAGTGTATGAGCGTTCCGGCCATAATCAGATACCAGTTAAGAATGTGCCAAAACCTTTCCCCTGCACCCTCATTACTGCCAGCCACTCTTCAGCGATGTGAAAATAGTCCACCACTTAGGTTATCGTAGATAGACAGAAGGTGCAGTCGTTTTGAAAACGTCACGCAGACATCACGTAACTCGTCGTGGCTACCGGCAGTCTTTCCTGGTTTGTCCGCGGAGTGATTTGCCGCAGTGGCCGGTATGTGGTGGCGTTTATTTGGCCTATTTTTAACACTTCTCTGGGTGCAAGCATTCGGCGTAGCGGGGTATGTCATGCTGACGGTTGCGTCCCGCCCCCTAGGGTGCAAGATCAAGGCTTTGCGGGCCAAGACCAACACGTACATCAAGACGCCCGTGCGTGGTGAAGAGCCCGTCTTCGTGGTGACAGGGCGCAAGGAAGATGTTGGGGCAGCCAAGCGGGAGATTCTCTCGGCGGCGGAGCACTTCAGCCAGATCCGGGCGCAGCGCAAGAACAACCTCAACGGCAGCCTCGCCCCAGGGCCCAACTCCAACATTCCAGGTGGGTACCCCCTTCTGCGCCGTTGCGCTGACACAGGGCCGTGACAGGGAATGGCGACCATTGTCGACTAGTCTGTATTCGCCTCTTGCATGTCGCCTACCGGTGTCCGGTATTCGTAACCGCATTCATTCGATGACCTCGGGCAGAAGCAAGTTATTACCCCGAGTCATTTTGGCAAAGTGAGGCTGAATTTTTCACTAGTTCTCTAATTTGGTTGAGATTTGGCTTAGAAGAGCTATTTGGGCACTAGTGGACTCGAATTTGATTGAGATGATGACTCCTCTTATGAAAGGGAGGGGTCATCTGTTTAAAGTAAGAGCAGCTTCATGTATGCGACCCACTTCAGTGTGCCGTGCAAAGAGAAGGCACTGAGGCAAAGCAAAATCCGTAAAAGCCCAGTTGCGGGGTCAAGCATTCCCGGCCCTTGGCTGTGTTTTCCTAGGGTGAAAGCTAGTCGACACAAGACTAGGCCTGCGAATAAGGCCTGTGCCAGAACATGTGGGACTGGGCAGATGCCCGGCACAACACTGAGGTCTCCCCGTTGTCCCCCAGGCCAGACGACGATCCAGGTGCGGGTGCCCTACCGGGTGGTGGGGCTGGTGGTGGGGCCCAAGGGGGCGACCATCAAGCGCATCCAGCAGCAGACCAACACCTACATCGTGACGCCCAGCCGGGACAAGGAGCCCGTCTTCGAGGTGACCGGACTGCCCGAGAGCGTGGACGCTGCCCGGCGAGAGATAGAAGCCCACATTGCCATGCGCACGGGGGGCTCCCTGGACGACGAGCCCCCGCCCCCCGAGGGCTCCTTCCCAGAGGGGCCCCCCTCCCGGCAGGACCTCTTCTCCTTCCCGGCCAAGTTGTACGCGGCCAACGGCGGTTTCGGCTCTGCCTACGAGTCTGACGAGGGCCTCGGAGACTCGCCCACCTTCGACCCCGCAGCCGTCGCCTGGCCGGACTTTGCGCGGGGGACCAATGGGGACGCCTTCGCAGCCCCGCCCCCCGTGCGGGGTGGCCCACTGCGGCGGGACGCGGGCCCCGACAGCGTGGCGAGCTCGCCGACGGACTCCCTGGGCTCCACGGGAGGCGGGCCGCCGGCGCCAGGCAAGCGGGGCAAGCGCGACTGCGTAGTGTGCTTCGAGAGCGAGGTGGTGGCGGCGCTGGTGCCCTGCGGCCACAACATGTTCTGCATGGAGTGCGCCAACAGGGTGTGCGGCAAGGGGGAGCCCCAGTGCCCCGTGTGCCACCAGCCCTGCGCACACGCCATACGCATCTACTCCTAGGCAGACTACACTCGGCGCAGCCGCCGACGGACGTGACCGTACTCTCCTTTTTTTCATCGCGTGGGCGGCGCTAGGCCCCTCCCCCGTCGCTTCGTGTTGTCTGTTGAGTGGCTGACCCCGTTTTCGTTTGCCGTTTGAGTGTGTCGGACCCCCGGGGGGCGGCCTTTAGGCGTCCCCCTCGTCTGGCTCTTCCGGGGAACAAGCGACCCCTTCCTTCCCGCCGACGTTGCCCGGATTCGTTTGTCCTTTGCCGGCGCCTCCATTCCCACATTCACACATATTATATATATATATATATATTAGTCAGCTGTCTTCACTGTCAACATACTCATTTTTTTTGTGATCTGCCAGTTGTTATATTATTACGATGTATTATTATTATTATTATTATTCTATCGCAATTACGCGTTGGGAGAGCCCCGTGTAGCCTCGATAGTATTCCTATTTTTTTTTAATTATTAGTATCACAATATTTTTGTTTGTGCGTGTCCTCCAACAAACGAGCAAGTCTTTAGCAACGCGCGTACCTTTTTAATAATATATTTAAAGTCATCTACTCGGAGCCCTTTATTTTTCAAAAAGCCCGGCCGCCGACCGCGTGCGTTCGGGGCTACCCTCCCCTTCCTTCGTCGCTGCCGCCACTTGCGTGTTCTTCCCCCCCTCGGAGTCTGATCTCTCGAGCCGCCGTCTCTTAGGCGGCCGCAACTCCTCCGCCCCCTGTGCGCTCTCTCCCCCCCTCGGGCGCACAATCTCTGATCGGGGACGGCCCGTGGCTTTGGTGGGAATAGCCGCCCTCGGGCTCCTTCAGTGTAGTCTTCCAGTTTTGCTCACACGCTGTTTGTCTCTTTTGGTCAACAACAACTTCCTCCGTGCTGCTGCATGGGACGCGAGGGAGAGCTCATTTGCCGCGTGGTCGGGCACCCGGGGTCTTCTTTTTATTACGACTGGGCACGCGAGCTTGTACCTTCTCCCTCCCCCGTCGAAGGCGACACTGAAGGGCGGTCTATGCACGGGGTTGCCCTCTCCCATCGTCCCTCCTGCCGTGCCCAGGCAATAAAGACGGCAGCTGAGAGGGATAGCCTCTCCCGCCCTCCGTGCGTGCGCTGTCTCATAGCTGTTGTCGGTCTCCCCCACTCTGCTGGTGCGTACGGTTGGGTCTCACGGACATGTCTCCGAGGAGGGGCGGTCTTCCGCCCCGCCTCACCTTCCTCCTCCGTATTCTTATGCAATTTTGGACGCGATCTCTCCTTCCCGTCAAGGGGCGGGGGGGCGACAGTGCGGCGTTGTGGGACGGTCTCTTTTTCTACTTCGGGGAAGGGCTACTTTTGGGACGCTCTCGAAAGCGCCCCTGTCTCAAGGCGAGACTGCTCACAGGGACGGAGGGGCCTGGGGGCTACCCCCTGGGGCTACCCTCGGAACGTGGAATGCACTGGCTGGCTGTTGTTCTCTTTTAGTGCCCCCTCTTGCTTATTATTGCGAATGTGTAACCCTCGCCCACTTTAGGTTGTTTGTTTGAGGAAAGCGACATTGTTTTTTGCATCCCCCAAAGTATAGGCGGAAGAGAGGAAAGAGAGAAGAGATGCGCATATTATAAATTTTAACACGCAGTTCCATGCTGAAAATTTATTCCCCGATATATTTTATTATTCAAATTTTAACTGTCCCCAGATGGAGATGTGTATTTTTGGTGTTACAGAGAGAGTATGTGTGTATGCTCGTGTGTGTACTTTGTGTACTTAAGAAGAAAAAAAAAAAGACAAAGGGAGAAACAAAAAAAAAAAACTATGTGGAGCTGGTGTTACTTTCCACGTTTGCCACCAGACATTGCCAGCAGTGGCGCCCCCATTGAACAGAGATATTGTATAAAGGACTATTTTGAGCTACCGTGCCAGGCGGAGAAGCCCGCGGCGCGGGCAGGGCTGCCTGCGCGACGGGCTTTTAAGCCGCCCTGGCCTTTTTCTTACAACACTGTGTCCCCCTTAGCAATACCGATGCGTGTCTGCGTTTGAGGCTAGATGTGTATTTTGGGCCGCGGCCCCCATCCGTAGATTGTCGACACGAGGGTACCTAATACTTAAAAAGAGGAGAGAGTAACAATACCACATTGTCGGGTGTACCGCAAAGAGTATCTATATACATTTGAATATATCCAACCTTTTGAGATTCAATTGGTTCGTATTTTATTACTCTGTACGTGACATGTGAATCGGATTCTTGATCCGTTCCTCCGCGTGGTCAGGACTCTTGTTTATGCACAAACTAAACATTGCCAAGTGATTTTTATATAGAAGATATGACAAGAAATGTCCCTCATTTTATTTGTTCCAAGATAATATTACTTGTTAATAAATATGTACGAGCGGAGTACACGGGTCTTGTTCTTCGGGTGACGACGATGTTACCGTTAGGCCTAGCGAGGCCTCGGAGGCCGGCGTCTCGCGCTTCTCGGAAGCCATGCGGCTGGGCTCTCCCTAGGGCCTCTAGGTAAGCTTTAGCTGTCTCTAAAAAGACAATTCTGGTGGAACATCCCGCTTGGTTGCGCCAGGCGCTGTCGGCGACATCCTCGAGCGCGCGTCCCAGTGACGTCTGCTAGTCACGTTAGGCCTAACCATAACCACGTTTCTACCATGTCTTTTAGTTCCGCCAGGCCTAACAAAGACGGCGATGCCGAAATATGTTAGTGTTTCGCGCGATTCTACCAGGTCTAGTTTCGCTAGGGGGATCGGTAGCCGAGTGGGCTAGCGCACACCAACTCGGGAGCACGTGGAGCGAGGGCTCCCATTGCAGAACCCAGGGATTCTGGGTTGAATCCCCACCCCTGCCCGTCTCGATCTGGATGAGCATCGTGCCGGCGCGCGGTCGTGTATCACTGCTAAATTTCTTATCTACAGCTGAAACACCAGACGCCCATTGAGGCTAATACACAACGTTGTCTTTAGTTTCGCTAGGCCTACCAAGACCACGAAGCCGGACTCTGGTGCGAAATCTCGCATTTCTACCAGGTCTGCTCGTTTCGCTAGGCCTGACCAACCCTACGATGCCGGTCTCTGCCCAGACGCTTGCGCGCTTCTACCAACCGCCTCGAGTAGCCCTCGTACGCGACACCCTGTGGCGGATAAGCCACGAAGCCGTCGATTTCCAGAGCCGTCCCAGAGTTGGTCGTGAACCCCTCGCTCGGAGGGGGGCCCGGCTGTCGGGGAGTTCAAGGCCACCACTTTCGCTGGCCGGCATCCGAGCGCGCCGGAGGCCGACGGCGAGGAGCTCCTCCGGAACCGGCGACCGGCTGGCCGCCGTCGCGCTGCGCTGGTGCCGAAAAAAAGAAAGAAAAGAAAAAAAAGAAAACCAGTTCCGCGCGGGGCGGCGAGTGGGCCAGCGGAACGCACTCTCGCCTGCTGGCGTCCTTGACGGCGGACGATCACCCGGCGGCGGGGCGGACGGCACCAAATTGGTTCCCCACCGGACGCCGCCGCCGCCGCGTGCGAACGACCTCAACGCACGTCATCGCTTTCCGACGCCGCTCGACTGGTCGCTGGAGAGCCACCAGGCCTTCCAAGAACAGCGTTCGGCCGCGCACGGGCTTTGACCGGCCCCTGGTCCCTGCTGCGTCAGCATTGACCGGCCCCTGCTGCGTCAGCATTCGACGGGGTCTCGGTGTTCCTGCTGATTGGACGCGAGCCTCAGCCGAGCGCTTACGCGGCGCTCGTGTCCAATTGTTGTGCCCCGTGCTGGCCTCCGGTGGGTGACGTCGAAAATACAGGTTTACTGCCTTGTTATCGTATTCGGAAACACCGGAAGAGACTCCGTCTAAGCGGACCTTTACGATGGTGGATAGCACAGGACGCTACGAACCATCGAAGCAAAGCCAATGCAGCGGGAGAGTCACGTGGCCTTCAGGAGAAGGTGCACAGTCACGTCTAGCGCTGGATTGGCTGGGATGAGTCGCGTCCGTCGCGACTGATCCCAGCCACGGGATCCAGCGCCACTGTCCTCAACGTCACATCAGACGAGAGAAAATCTGCCTTCTGCCATGTTACCCTATGGACATTGTCGGAATAAAAACAAAACTGCGGAGGTCGAAGGAATTTCCGCCCCTTACACCCCATAAGGCGAGGGCCATGGGGTTCGTGGTTCAGAGTCCCCGAAACACTTTCGTCGCCACTAATCACACACTAATAAATAAATAAATAAATAAACAACCCGAACTTTTTGATGTAGTAGTAGCTCGGTATTGAAGCCTTTACATTGAGTGGGCCTCTGGTCCCTGTGCTTCGCGTGAACGGCCGTTCTCGGAAGAGAATAGCCGCTTCCACGTTCGACTCCACAACTGGAACCTGAAGGGTTGCGGTACTGATTCCGTCTTCGTCACACACCCGTCGTTCCCATCGAACGACACCGATGGGCCGTCCTCAATTCCGGAGTGTGGCACATTACACGGGACGAGCGCTTCGAGCCTGCACGTGCAGCCGAAGCACCACGGAAGGCAACGAGCGCGTGCCGTTTCGCCAAGTCACTCAGTTGTGGACGCATGCGCCGTTTCGGATATTCGGCAGCCTGGAAGACAAAGTTGGCAGAATGCGATGAGTGGAGGAGGAATACACTTATTTCGAAAGGGTTGGCAACTTGGCCTGGGAGTCAAGTTTCTCGCACAAATGAGGCTTCACATGCGGGAACTCCACGGTGCGAGCAAGCTCTGTTTTTGGTTTCGCACCGGGTTGATTCACTCTTCATACGAAGAAGGGTGTGTGCTTGCCGGAACATTCCTTTTCACATAATTTCTATTCCGGCAAACCCCAGCGGCGTGCATGCCTGCACGTTCTGTTAAAGTAGTCATCCCGGTTTTTATGAACGCTTCGAGCCGCCGGTACCCTCACCGGCGATTACTGCCGCGCGTTCGCGTAACGACGCTGTTTGTCCAGCACTCTCAGCATGTCGGGAGTGCACGAAGACTATTGCTCTCGACAACTCGTCTTCATCCATCGCGAAGATGGGACCCTCGGACGCGTGGTCGTTCTCGGCACCGTTGAGATGCGGCCGCGTCGGGTGCGCCGTAGCGGTGCTGCTCTCGTTTCCGCCCCGCTGGGTTCGAATACGAGGCCACGAGCGGGCACGCCGAACCACACCCCGGTCGGCTCGATCGATTCCGCGCGCCGCGGCACCCAAATTATGCCGTAGTTCTCTCCGGATCAAACAAATTATTACATACAAATTAAAAAAAAAAAAAAGGCTGCCCGCTAGAATTACGCAGATGCCAATCCGGCGATCATCCTAATCCGATTTTGGACGCTTTCTGCGAAGTCTGATCCGTTGATGAGGGACCGCAACGCTGCGGGCGAATCGGCCGGCCGGCCGGCTCCTGCAGCGGAGGGCGGCGGGCTTCGCCGCAGCGCAGCGGAGCCAGAGGAGAAGCCGCTCTTCCGGGTTGGCCGCCTTTTGCGGAAGCGGAAATGCAGCCGCGCGGCGGTTTTATTTTGAGTCCGGGGGAGATCGCGTAACTCGTTTGGTGGGGGGAGGAAGGGAAATGCGCGGACGTGAGACGCCTTCTTGAATGGCGCTGGAGCAAGGCCAAGGTTTATTCCGTCTCCTCGAAGCGCGCGCATAGTTGCCGGCGTATACCGCAAGCGGTCATTCCCTCCCGCGGACGTGCATGACCAATGACCATTGCCACCTAAAAGACAAGGCCTGAAACCTTTCTTCCCAAACGTCATCGCTAGAGGAACCACGCAGCATCGCCGCCAACGCGGCTCCGAGACGGATGCGTCTGCCTTCAACAATGCTTCGGTGTTTCTTGAGCATCGAACGTGCACGCGCGACCAATGCACGGCGGAAGACAGCAAACGCGTTCTGGAGGAGGTTAAGCATCCGAAAGAGACGCACTGCCTTTCTCATCACATCAGTCAATATACAGCAGCAGTTTATAGCCATGACCAGAACTAGTCGCGCTAGTTGATGTCTCCCGGTCACATCCTCCTCGTGTGTTTACCCCGCCCCCGATAATCCAGGGCTCGACGTTCGCCGTGCGGCGCGGTGTCTGAAAACCAAAACGCACGGCTCGCAACTTGAACTCGCAACATCGGGGTCACGTAGGGGAGCGTTCCTTCCTCTCCCCAGGAAAAACATTGCGCGGTCTCGGACTTTACGTCGCTTCCCATTTTTCGCGATTCGTGCGCCCCGCGTCTGTCGTCGCTCGGACGTCGGACAGGTACTGCGAATGATCGAAGGCTCTGCTTTCTACCGCCAAGCGAAGCGTGCAGCAAGGCGCGTCGGGACGTCTGGCCAACATGCCCTCGATAGTGGCCCGCGAAATTTGAGAGCACGGTCGTCCATGCCAACTTTTCCGATAGGGAGGGTGGCATTTTGTGTGTCGTTTCTTTCGTCTGTTGCAATTTACTCGTGTCTTGTATAGCCCCGACGACGATGCGATTTCCACCATCGCCCGCGCCAGAAACCCCGAAAAAAAAAAAAAGAAAAAAGGTCATCGTCGTGCGTGTCTGTTGCAGCTTCGCTGTACTTAAATGCCCTATCAAAATGTAAATTGCTTGGACACTGAAGTCAATATTTTGGGTATCAGTCAACGTGCTCCTTCTTGTGGCTTCTTTGTCGGCTGTCAGGCAAGCACGCAAAGCAACACTTTTTTTTTTTCTTTTGTGCATTACAGCGTTAGTGAGAGTGACAATCCGAAACCGCAGGAAACGCTTTTCCGTCCGCCAGAAATTTTAGAACAAACCGAGACAGAGCCAGTTTCGAATCGGAGCTATCCCCGCCCGCTTTGCACTAAGCCTAAAAATGGCGGCGCCCTCAAGAACACTGGGGAAAGGAGTTTAGTCGATCTAGTGGGAAACGACTGACTGGCACGTGACATCATCGCCTCATGTTTTGGTAGTCGTTTCTACTTTTTCTGGCCGAGAAAAATAAATTCCGCCGTGCGAAATGCGTGCCGAAGCTCTCAGCAGCAAGGGCACTACAATGGCCGCTAATGTGGCTTCGGTCAACTCCCTAATGTCACACCACACCGGTGGCGCTGCTGTCGGCACTGCACAAGCCACTGATCTCAATTGTCATAGAGATCAGTGGCACAAGCGCAGATGTTTCGCCTCGGGCGAATCTGGCTACTTCGCGCGCGCAATGCACGCACCCGGTTGGCTTGCACTGATGTGACGTCACACCAGCCGCCATTGTGGCGGCCTTATTGAGCGCGTACTGTCGCAGGCGATATGAAAAAGCCCAGGCGAGCTCTTAGTCTACAAGGTCTTCCGCGCTATCCACCAGAAGAAAGCTAAACCTTTATCGGGGCTTCGGCGGCTGTTCAGTTTTTCTCGCCATTCTACGCTCGACCAGCCGTCGCTTGAGTCAATGCGGATTTCGTAGAA